ATGAATTTTTGGAGAGTTCATTCTAGGTCTGTGAAATATGCCATTGGTATTTTAATGGGGAGTGCATTGAACCTATAGATTGCTTTGGGTAGTATGGACATTTTAATGATGATTCTACCAATCCATGAACACGGTATGTTCTTCCATCTGTTTATGTCTTCCTCTATCTCTTTTTTCAGTGCCCTGTAGTTTTCCAAGTACAGGTATTTTACCTCCTTAGTTAAGTTTATTCCTAGGTATCTTAATTTTTTTGGTGCAGTGGTAAATGGGATTTTTTTTAACCTCTCTTTCTGTAAGCTCATTATTAGTGTATAAAAATGCCATAGACTTCTGGGTGTTAATTTTGTATTCTGCTACATTGCCGAATTCATTTATTAAGTCTAATAATTTTTTATGGAATCTTTAGGGTTTTCTATGTCATCTGCAAATAATGACAGTTTTACTTCTTTTCCAATTTGGATACCTTTTATTTCTTCTTCTTGTCTAATCACTATGGCTAGCACTTCAGTACTACGTCAAACAGAAGTGGTAAAAGTGGGCATCCCTGTCTTGTTCCCGTTCTTAGATGAAATGGTTTTAATTTTTGCCCATTGAGTATGATGTTGGCTGTAGGTTTGTCATATAAGGCTTTTATTATGTTGAGGTGTGATCCCTCTATTCTTATTTTGCTGAGGGTTTGTATCAAGAAAGGGTGTTGGATTTTGTCAAATGGTTTTTCTGCATCAATTGATATGACTATGTGATGTTTATCTCTCAATTTGTTTCACACTATGAATCTTATGTTGAATATGGAAACATCATTCTCTTGCCATTTCACAAGGAATAGGTACTGAAAATATTTTAAGTACTTTTTTGACCACTCTTGCAAATTCTAGCTCCCTTAAAATCTATAAAAATTATGAAGATATCTGTGAACATGAAACATATGTAGTCATTGTCTCACTTTCCAGTTTGACTCAGCTCTCACAGAGATTACTGACAGCAAAAATCTAATGTGAAATGCTCAAAGCTATTCTCACCAGTAACTGTTAACAGAAGGCAAAATTTACATATACATCCTTCATGCAAGGAACTGCTCCTAGAAGATATAATGATGATGGCAACTAGGGAAAAAGCATGAAAATAAACACACCAAGCTATAACAAGAATTTATATTTACCAGACTAGGAGTGACATTTGTATATCTCTACGTGTAGTGAAAATAAAATTGCAAACATATCTAACCCTGAATTGTTTATAATAATATAATAGGAAGAAAATATAGAATCAAATTTCCAAAAGTCAAAAAATTCTTATAGTGTATGATAGTCACTCTTATAAATTCTATCTATTCTTGAAAATGTAATTTGTGTGTGTGTGCTTAAAATGTTGAGGTCCTTAATTATAAGACAAAGAAATACTTTATTAAAAGAGCTATAGGTGAAGAATAATAGGAAATTATTTTACCATTTTATAATTACATATTATTCAAATTCTTGTTCCTGTTAGTAAATATTGGTGATTATTAACAGGATGAGCAAAGGAGTCTTGATTGACTATGAAAAAAGTGAAATACCAAATTGCTCTTGTGTAAAACAGCACATAGGTGAATGTTTTGTGATTTTAAGTTTTATATAAAAATGATTAAAATATTTCAGTAAACCAAGGTCTTTGGAGGAGATATAGATCCTCCACTTCACAATTCCTTTGTTACTTAGTAAAATCAACTTGCTTTCCAAGAGTGTGATTTTGGTTTTAGACTTGCATGCTGAATTGTAAATTTTCTGTATTGCAAGAATGATACAAAACCAATGATTATAAATAATTTTTAGAGAATTGAGATAAAAGAAGAAAGGAAAAGTCAAACCTTATGTTATCTAAGAAAATTGGGGCAATTTTAAGAAGTTTCTATAATCAAATTCATCCAATAAATTAATGCTATTCTCTGTCAATTGTATTAATCAATTGTGTTGTCTGCTATTGCCTTCATTAGTTGGCAAAAAAAAAATTTTTTTCTGTGAAGATGCTGTTTCTTAGTATGTTTAATTTTTTAAAATTCAGTGGAATTTATATCTATTTCTTTGATGGTTTGTAAGATTAAATGTGAAAATATAGTGTATGAAAGATAACTTTCTTCAGGGATCAAATCAATTTTGATGAAATATTGGAGTGGTCATAATTTTTTCCCTTCTCGTGCATCCATGATTTGCCCATAGGCTAATAAACTAAAAGCAGCTATTTAGAACCCAAACTAACTTTTGATTTGCAAAGTAATGAATTTAATCTGGTAATAGCTCATAATGCTAAATCCAATCAAATAGTATTTAGAGGTTGTTAGAGAATGATAAAAAATGTAAATAAAGTCCTATACTAAGTTTAATAAACCAATAAAAAGGTGAAAGCCAGATATTATTAGGTACATTATTTGGGATTGGGGTTCAGAGGTAATTGTCATTATATTAGTTGATCTTAGACTTCTGCCCATAAATTTTTTAATGAGAAAATAAGCCCTAAGTCTACCCACTTGGAACTCTTCTGTCAAAACAAAACACTTGTCTTTTCTTTTTTTTCTTTTTTTTCACTTATAAAAGAGGCCCAGTGCATGAATTCGTGCACCAGTGGGGTCCCTCAGCCTGGTCTGTGGGATGGGGCCTAAACCAGCTCTCCCACATCCCCCATGGGGTCCCGGATTGTGAGATGGCACAGGCCAGGCTGAGGGACCCCACCAGTGCAAAATCGGGGCGGAGAGGGATGCAGGAGGTTGGCCAACTGGGGAGGGGCTACAGGAGGGCTCCAAGGCGTGTCTGGCCTGTCTCGCTCAATCCCGATTGGCCGAACCCCAGGAGCAAGCTAACCTACCAGTCGGAGCATCTTCCTCCTGGTGGTCAGTTCACGCCATAGCGAGTGGTTGAGTGGCCTTAACATATCATTAGCATATTACACTTTGATTGGTTGAACGGCCAACCAGACACTTAGCATATTAGGCTTTTATTATATAGGATTATTTACAACAAGAATAAAAAATATTTACTAAATTACTATACATAAAATGACTTCTACCCTCCAAAACTTAAGATATTGAATTAGTTGAGAGAATATCAACTCATTTTCCTATTGAAGTTTTATTTTCAATATTGCTTAATAAATTATAATTATATTTTGATGAATATTACCAAAGCATTTTATTACTTGTTAGACATTGACTTTAAAGATATTTTGTCTACAGTCAATAATTTATGCTTAGGTATTTGAAAACATTTCATTTTTATAATTGTTAACAAATAAATCAGACTGGGCTGGTTACTATGCTGTATTTTGAAATTTGTTCAGACTTTAGATTCCAAATCATCTAGCTTGTTTAGAAATATAAATTAACTAAAATAATCTAATATGATTTGGAAGTAAAATTTGAGCCATATATTCATAATTATTTTAGTACTTATGCTTTTAAAATTAAATGGCAGCTACCAAGTATTAGTATTATGTTATATTGCAAATGTCGATTATTTTACACCAACATATAACAAAATCAAAGTTATCATGAGTTCTGTAAAATTATTCTACCTTAAGAATCTATTTCATTCACTCTGCATATTTGCTGCATAAAACTTGAACTTAAAGGAGATAGGGCAAGGACATGCATGAGCAGAAAAAGTTCAAGAAAAGATTTAAGTAAGTTGTGTCAATATTATTGGGGACCTGGTGAAAAAAGTGACGGGAATAAGCAAAAAAATAAATAAATAAACTCATAGACACCGACAACAGTATAGTGATTATGAGAGGTAAAGGGGAATGGGGGGGTAGAAGAGAGTAAAGATGGAATAAATAATGGTGGGAAAACACTTGACTTTGGTTGGTGAACACAAAATAAATTATACAGATGATCTATTAGAGAATTGTACACTTGAAAACTATACAATTTTATTAACCAATGTTACCCCAATAAATTCAATTAAAATTTTAATTAAAAAAATTAGTGTGCCTTTGGTTAAAAAATAATTGTTATAGTTCACCTTATTACACATCAACTCTTTATTGACATGAAACACAAGTCTGTTATTTCAGTCATTGTCCTTTGTATGCCATAGATTTTTCTTTGTTTATGAGGAAAAAACTGAGAGCTTGCATAGAATAATAGTGAAGGTTTCTTTCACCTGCATTGTTCAAATTTTTTAAAAATTAGTTATTTAATAAAATAGGTAAAGGAAAAACTGTCTCTCATTTAATGCAGTTGATCACCACAGTTCTACCCATTCTCTGGTTAATCTACACTCGCTCTGCATTCAGGGATGGGATTGAGATGCCACCAATGGAACATGTACCTGTCCTGCTCCTTACTATTGGTCTAAAGCTGCACCTGAAGATGAAGGCAATCATTGTATAAAAGGGAGTTTCTTACTGTATCAGAAGGTCACGATTTAACCTGTTTTAAATCGTAGGTGGTCCAGGAAGTGGAAAGGGTACTCAAAGTTTGAAAATTGCAGAACGTTATGGATTCCAGTACATTTCAGTGGGAGAGTTATTAAGAAAGAAGATCCACAGTGCCAGCAGCAACAGGAAATGGAGTCTCATTGCCAAAATAATTACAACTGGAGAATTGGCCCCACAGGTACTGCTGTATAATTTGCTTTTTCTTTTTTAACACTTCTGTAGTTTTTATACCAGTTGTGAGTATACTTAGCTTAATTGTGATTTTTCATCCTTTTTCTTTTATAAAAGGAAACAACCATTACAGAGATAAAACAGAGATTGATGCAAATTCCTGATGAAGAGGGCATTGTTATTGATGGATTCCCAAGAGATGTTGCCCAGGCTCTATCTTTTGAGGACCAAGTAAGAATGTCTTCTTATATTTTAAATGACCTACTTTTTACCTAAAACTTAGAGATTTTTTTAAAAAGACTTCTTGGAAGACTTGCTGTTGTTGGGAATGAATTCTGGTCTGAAAACAGGCAAGTACAGCAGTACAAGGTGGCAGAAGGTCATTTCTGCCAAAAAGAAAAGATAAAAATTAATAACAGATTTAATTTTTTTTATTGAAAATTCTTATCTCTGTAGCCTTTATTTCAAAATCTTTCCCTAAGATTGTATTTTTAATCTTCAATTAGTAAAACAAGTCTTACTCGTTACTGCCCAGGGATAAACAACATCACCTGTATTTGCATTGTTACCAATTAAGGAAGCCCTCTTCCCGGGGTTGTGAAATACTAAACTATCTACCTATCACCAAGGAGGGGTTCAGGTTGCCAAAGTTACTCAGATTTGAGTAGATTATGTCTGCTCTGCACCCAACACATCTATTTTAAAGGGAAATAAATCAATGAAAACATTTTGAATATCTATTTAAACTTTGAAAAGCTAGTGTAACTGATTTTTTTTATTTAAAAATGTGAATTACAAAAATATTATTGGCTATAAAAATTTTAAGTCCTGGTATAAAAAGTGAAAGTTCATTAATACTCTCCTTCCATCATTGACCCTCCTCTCCTAATAAAAACTCTATTAAGCCCTACCCGGTTTGGCTCAGTGAATAGAGCATCAGCCTGCAGACTAAAGGGTCTTCGGTTCAATTCTGGTCAAGGGCATATGCTCGGGTTGCGGGCTCGATCCCCAGTTGGGGGTGTGCAGGAGGCAGCAGATCAATGATTCTCTCTCATTATTGATGTTCCTATCTCTCTCTCCCTCTTCTTTCTGAAATCAATAAAAAAATATTTTTTAAAAACAAACAAAAACACTATTAAGTTTGTTATTTATATATATATTTCAGGTCTTTTCCTGTATGTTACACACACAGACACACCCATGCATGCATATGTGCACATATTCATACAGATGCATTTTTAACATTTATAGCTATTTCTAGACTGTCTGGCAAAAAGTCTTCCCAACTGTAGTCTCATCAATATTGAATGAAAGAATCTGTTTCTCCCAGATATAATTCACATTCTTTTCAACCAGATAAAATTCATGTTTAAAATTTTTGCCAACATAATACATAAGAAATGGTATTTCATTTTTCACATTTACATTTCTTGAGTTACTACTTAGGTTAAGTACATTTTCATATATGTAGGGGCCATTTGTATTTCTTTCATGTGTGAATTACCTGCTTTCCTTTGTCCATATTTCTACAGACCTGGTTTTTGTTTTTGTTTTGTTTTTTTACTTATTTAAAGACGTGTTTAATATATTACAGATATTATAGCAGAGAGGATTAGGTTAAATAAGATGGAAGTTTGTGTCTCTCCTGGAAGAAGCCTGGAGGCAGGCAGTCTGAGGCCAGAAGAGAGCTTCCTAAAGCCTTTCTTTGAATCTTCCCTTTCGTTGTGTCAGGACACCTTTGTGCGGCAGGGTCTTTCTCCCTCCTCCTTCCACAGTCAGGCCACAGCCTCTGTGCTCACTCGGTTTAAGGGCTTGGTTCTAATTGCTCTCGCCTTGATGGGAGAAATACTAGGAAAGTCAATGTTTTGTTGTTGTTGCTATTGCTGCCACATGGAACGGCTAGTGAAAATGCTCTGGTGGCCATTCCATATGATTCTTGGCTATTGGTGGAGCATGAGCTCCAGGCTGGCAGGCATCCCCACCCAAACCTGGTCCCCATCCTATGCATTGAATGAGATGCACTTGGCAAGCACAGGCATAAAAATCTATTTGATTCTCTCTATTGCCTTTCAAACATCCTATATCATGTCTCTCTCTCCTCCCCTGGATAATAACTAAGGGAGATCCAGTAGCTTTTCTGGTCACTTTAAAAACATGAACAAAGAGTCTCATTTGCAGGTATTAAAAAGTCTAGTCCACAATTATATCTCAATAAAAATTTAATTTAAAAAAAGTCCTGTTCAATCTAAATCAAAACTTCAATTTCTCACTTAATTTACTATATCTCTGCTACCGTCAGGTTGGGCCTGGCTCAGCCTCAGAAACCTAAATGACATCTCAGATCCTGAAATTCTTCCTCATGTGGCTTATAGTGGGGCAGGTAGGAGAAAAGGGGCAAAAAAACACACAACTCTCCAGGAACTCTCTCTGGAAATCAATCTCCCCCCTACTCGTATACAGCCTGGGCATGGGTGATAGGCTGAGAGTCACAGTGCTGGTTTGGGGAAACCTTTTAACAGGTATCTCTCTAGAATGTGCAGTCACATGTATATGCTGTTCTCAACTACACTCTTGAGTCTGGAAGAGACCCATTTTTCATCTTCTTAGGTTGGCATCATAGCAGCCTAGAGGTTCTTGGCCACTGTGGGCAGTGCAGCGATCCCTGAGGCTGATGTCTCCATTGCTGACTACAGGAGTTCAGAGGGTGCAGAGGCAAAGCTGAAGTGTTTATGTAAAGCAAAGTGTTAGGCTCTTGTTAGACTGCTCCACGACCTATGTGTACTGTAAGCTCCTGGGGTATCTTTTTTTTTTCTGGTACCATTTCTGACACCAAATGTGTGGGGATGTCCCACACCAGTTCTCCAATCCATCCACATCAACCATATGTCCAACAATTGAATTCAACTCGGACACTATTCAGAGTTGGCACAGACCCCACAGGTAAAGGGCTCAGTCCCACCAGACTGCTCCCTCCCCCACTTCATTCCCAAGTCCCAGGGGCCAACCACCTATAAATTCAGGGGTTCCCACAACACCCTGGTCAGGTTCAATGATTTGTTAGAACAACTCACAGAACTCAGGAGAACACTTATATTTACCAGTTTATTAGAAAGGATGCAAGTCAGTCAAAAGAAGCGTTGTAAAGGGCAAGGTATGAGACTGGGAGTGTGGAACTCCCATGCCCTCTCTGGGCACACCACCCTCCAGCCCTTTAATGTATTCACCAACCCAAAAGCTCCCAAATTTCATTATTGAAGAGGTTTTGGAACTTGATCTCTAACCCATTCCCCTCCCTGGAGGTCAGGGAGTGAGGCTGAAAGTCCCACCTTCTAATCTCAGGTCTGGTCTTTCTAGCAATCAGCCCGGTTCTGATGTTATATAGGGGCCCCACCCTGGGTCACCTCATTAGCTTCGATGCAGATGTGGTCAGAAGGTCATTATGAACAACAAAAGACACTCCCATCAGAAAATTTCAAGGGTCTTAGAAGCTCTGTGCCAGTAATTTGAATCAAAGACCAAATACTGTTTTTATTATACACGACTCCTCAAGGTTCTTTTGTTTGTTTTTAACCAGCTCCTTTTAGTGCACATGTGGGCATATACGCCCATATGCAGAAATTTTCTCCAAGGCTTCCTCACAGGTCCAGGATATAAGAAGAGAGGGATTTCTGACGCCAGCCATATACTAGTGATGCTAAGACCAGTGTAACAAAAAGAACTAACCCTTAAGTGTCTTATAAGACAAAGCAGTATACTTTTGGGGGGGTAATAGCATCAATGTGAACTGTCCACATTGGCTGGGCAGCTTTTCTCCTTGAAGTAATCTCGGGATCACAGTCCCTTCCAAGTTGTTTTGCCATCCTCTGGGACACTATCACCATCCATATGGTCGAAGCAGAGTTGCCATTATGTGGGGTCCAGCTTGTATGGAAGGGGAAGAGAGTGTGAAGGTCTGAAGTCCCAGACCTGGAAGTGGCATCCATCACTTCATGGTGTTATTGAGAATTCAGTCATGTTATAATTGCAAGGCAGGCTGGGAAATGTAGTCCAGTTGGGAAGCCGGGTGTCTGGCTATCGTTTTATTACTATGGAAGGAGAAGAGAACTTAGTAGTAGTTTCTATCACAGTTTGCCCCTCCAGCCATCCAACTGTCTGCTTGCTTCCTTCTTCCCACACATAGAATGTACTCACTCACTCCCCAAGGAAAACAACTCAAAGACCCATTCTCTAGTTCAAGAATTTCTACTAGATGTGCAGTTTTCTCCATTAGGTCCGGGGTTAACTCCTCATACTCAGCCACCTATGCACTAAACATCAACTTGTCTTCCCTCCCTGCCATCAATCAACATCGGAAAAACAAGACCAGCAGAAGTGAAATAAAGGCTCCTATTTGAATATACAGTAGTCACTGAACCATAGCAAATAACAAATTCTGTGAGGTAGGGATTGCAAAGGGTTCTTGCCCTGGCAATACACTGACTTCCCGGGCTAGGCAACTCCTGCTTCTGCTTTCATGGAATAACTCTTTGCCTATTCCCTTCTGAGCCCCCGCCCCCACCCCCGGCCTTCGAGAAGTATTTCCTATTGTCTGTTGCCCGGCATAGCCACATAAAAGTGACATGTTGGTGACTACACTCATGAGAGCTATTTTAAGTTTGAAAAAAATACAAGCTTTTGGTTACTTTGGTAAAACCATTTCCTCAAAAATATGGTAGACTTCTTCTTCTCTTTTTGTCTCCAGTTAGTTCCATTGCCTATAACTACACTCAAAGTTCTTTCCTGGGTATAGTGTTAAACCACTTTATTTCTTTGTTTTCTCATTTTGATGGCAGTTACCTGGAGGCCATATAAAACAACAGGCTTGGAGAAGAAAACAACATCCACAGTTTGGGTTTTGGCTTAGGGCTGGTTCCTTTTTTTTTTTTATCTTTTTGTCTGCAGTTAGTTCCATTGCCTGTAACTACACTCAAAGTTCTTTCCTGGGTATAGTGTTAAACCACTTTATTTCTTTGTTTTCTCATTTTGATGGCAGTTACCTGGAGGCCATATAAAACAACAGGCTTGGAGAAGAAAACAACATCCACAGTTTGGGTTTTGGCTTAGGGCTGGTTCCTTTTTTTTTTTTATCTTTAAGTGCAACGGGGTGGTTAATGGCAGTCCTTGGAGCAATAATAGCCTTGTCTTCGTCTGTTTGGAGGTATACAAGCAGTTCGCTTTTCAAACTTTTTTTT